AAGTAGTTTTGCAAGTGAAATTTGTAACTGTGAATGTGTACATTAGAAAAATAGAGCAGTCCCAAATAAGTTACCTAATAATTCATTTTAAGGTCCTACATATACAGAAGTTGTACAGTCTAAAACTTGTAGAAGGAAAGAAATTTTAAATAGCAGACCAGAAGTCAATTATAACACACAAAGGATCAATGAATCAGAGTCCTTCAAAAGGATAAATAAGATCAGTCAGTCTTTAGCCAAACTTACCGAAAGAATGAATAGAAACATATCATTGTAATTAATATAAAGCAGGTATAGTCACAATGGACCATGGTAATATCCAGAAAATTATTCCAAAATTTCTATTCAAATAATTTGGAGAATCTAGAAGAGAGAAATTTGTAGACCAATATGAATTGCCAAATTTTAGCCAAGAAGATATAAAAACTCAGGTAAATAATGGGCAGTGATACAGAGTAGAGGCAGTAATAAAATTCCGATTAACCAAGAGCAGCCCAAGATCCAGTGAATTCACTGCTGAATTTTGCCACAACTTCAGAGAATTAACACCATGACTCTTCAGATTCTTCTATGAAAATGAAAGGTGGAAAGGAACATAACCTAACTCATTTCATGAAACTATCATTACCCTGATACCAAACCTAGCAAGGACTCCACAAAAAAGAAATAGAAGAAAAGAAAACTATATGGCATTTTTCTTACTGAGCATATAGATACAGAAATTCTCAAAGCACAATGCTTTCAAGAAGAAAGCACCAAATCATTAAAAATACCATATACCATGAGCAAATCAGCTTCATCTCAGAGCTGCAAAGGCACAGCAACATACATAAATCAGTAAATGTAATTAATATACAACATAAAAGCAAAGATAAAAATTGCTTGATCATTTCAAAAGATAAGAAAAAAATAAATCCTAACATCCATTCATGATTTTAAAAAACCCTAATAAAAATATGTATAAAAAGAATTTATTTCACACTGATAAAACCCTTTTATGACAAACCTACTTGCTGGTATCTTACAAAATGGGAAAATTCTAAAAGCATTCTCTCTAAACTCAGGAACAAGAGTGTACACTGCTACTTCTCCTGCTCAATATAGTACATGAAACTTTACCCAGAACAATAAGCAAGAGAAAGAAAGAAAAGGAATATAAATTGGAAAGAAGTAAAACTATCCTTATTTGCAGATGATATGGTCCTTTACATAGAAAACCCAAAAAATTCCACCAAAGAAAACCCTCTTAAAACTAATAAACAGGGCTGGGGATTTGGCTCAGTGGTTCCACGCCTGCCTTGCTAGCTCAAGGACCTGAGTTTGATCCCCAGTACCAAAACAAACAAACAAACAAAAAACTCTAATAAACAGATTTTGCAAAATGACAAGATAGAAAATGAACACATAAAAATCAATAGCATTCCTGTCCATAAATAATGAACTCACTGGTAAATGAGGAAAGCAACCCCATTCACAATAGACTTTAAAAAAGAATTAAATACTTGGTTGGGAATTAACCTAACCAAGGCAGTAAAAGACCTCTATAACAAAAACTTACTCAGAAAAAGGAGATTGAAGAGGACTTTAGAATGGCATTTCCTGTTCCTGTATAGGCAGAATTGGCATTGTCAAATGGGTCATGTTCCTAAAAATGATATACAAATTTAATGCAATTTCAATCTAAATACCAGCAACATTCTCCACAGAAATAGAACAAAAAACAATCCTAAAATTTCTGGGTACTAAAATAGGCTCAGAATAGATAGAGCAATGCTGAGCAAAAAGAACAAAGCAGGGTGCATTACAATCCTGGATTTCAAGTTATACTGCAAAACTACAGTGATAAAAGCAGTATGGTACTAGAATAAAAATAGAAATGGAGAACAGCGGAATAGAAGATACAAGAACTGCTCCATATACCTTTAGCAGTATGATTTTTGATAAATGGGCTAAAATCAAATGCTGGGGAAAAGCTATTGTCTTTAACAAATATTGATGGGGGAATTTGTTGTCCGTGTGCAAAAGAATGAATGTAAAACCTTATCTCTTGCCCTGTACTAAAATCAAAATGGATAAAAGACCTAGGTATAAATACAAAAATATTGTATATGCTAAAAGTAGGTAAAACTCTTAAAGACATAGGTATAGGTATTTATTCTGAACAAAAGCCTAATTGCACAAGAAACAATACCAAGAATCAACAGATGTCAAATTATAATGCTTCTGCATAGCAATGGAAACTATTGTCAGGATGAAGAGACAACCTGCAGAATGGGGAAAAGATTGCCAGCTATTCCTTAGACAGAGGACTAATATATAGAATATATAAAGAACTCAAAAAATCAGCCCCCCAAAAGAAAATACACAATCAACAGATGGTCAATTTAAATGAATAGATACTTCTAAAAAGTATCTATTATAGTATATCATAAATGGCCAGTAAGTTCATGAAAAATATTCAGCATCTTTTCCCATTAGTGAAATGAAGATCAAAACTCCATCTTACTCGAGTGAGAATGACTCAAAAAAATCAATAAATTCTGACTAGGATATGGGAGAAAAAAGTACCCTTCTACATTGTTGATGACACTGTTAAGTAATATCACCACTATGGATATCCTACTGAAATTCCTCAAAAAAAATAAAATTAGAAATTCCTTTTGACTTCCCCCCATACCTCTACTGTGTATTGTCTCAAAAGACTTAAAGTTGTTATGTTACATTGATAAATACATAGTCATCTTTATAGCAGCACAGTTCACAGCAGAAAACTGTGTATGTGTATGTGTACACAAGAGTTTTAAGCTTTGAATGATGAATTTGAGGCATTTGTAGGAAAATGGGTAGATCTTGAGACTATTATGTTAAGTGAAAAGTCAAATGCAGGTTAAATATCACATTGTATCTCTTATATCATACACCCAGAATATAACTAGAGAAAAATGAAGGAAAGATGTTAGGAAGCAGGTAAACATTTTGAAGATGGGACAGAGGTCTAGGGAAGGGATGAGAAGGAATATGGGTGGGAAAGGGGAGTAAAAATGATGAAGATGTAATACATTGTGTACCAGTTCCCCCAAACAATTGTAAGTATTGTTTATCACAAATATATACTAATAAAATAGCATCAATAAATGGAGAAGGACCAAGAGACAAATGAAGGTATGTAGGGGATAGTAATATAAGCAGAGAAGAGACCGCAGTATAAATGAGTGGTAGAAGTAGAGATAGGGAGATTATATCCAGTTGTTGAACTAACGATGATATCTATGCAAAGCAGCCATTAATGTAGGAATATTTAATAACATGCACTGTAGAAATGAAAACTAATTTGCAGTTTTCTCACACATGTAAATATATACAAAGACCAATCCTAATAAGCTGAACAAGATGACTGACAGAGAAGTGAAAAGAAGAGAGTAATTATATTGCTGTTAGGACCAGCATGGCAGTGTTGGTATTTTTAGACTATCATATTCAAGTTTTCTCAGGACTATGATTGGTAGAGCATGAGTGTATCTTCTTACTGCATGTCTCAGCCCAAGTCACAGGAGTCATGTTCCTACAGCTACTCCTGCAGTTAACTCTCACCTGTCTTTCTCGCTGTCTGGCTCTCACTGTTGCTGCTAGCCCATACTCTGGCCTGAGATTCCGGTGATATCCAGGGTTAGTAAGGACAGCTGCAGCTCCATCTAGCAACCTTGGAGTGGGTTCCAGCTTCCAGAGTACTCCAAATCTCTCTGTAGCTTGCAGTTCCTGCTGTGACAGGTGCCAGGAGACATTAGATCAAGGCAGGAGCATCCATTCTGTCTTGCTCAACCCAGCACTTAACACTTTTAGCTCTGTTGGAGCCAACTGAGTCTCCTAACTCCAGTTCCTCTCCAGCTGAGGGCTGTACTTCTGTATCTTTCAGCCCCAAGAACTTGGTATTTATAGCTCCACCCACCAGAGCTTACTGATTTCACTGTCCATCTCTGAATTCCTCTATGCCCAGGCTATCCTCTCTGTCTCTTTGTATCCCCAACATTTGGCATTTTTAGCTCCACTGCTGTACCCTCGGGGTTTCTCTCTGTATCACTCTCCCTGCAGTACCCAAGTCTTGCCTGGGAGGCTTTTGGATGAATATTTCAGACCCTAGGCCCCACATTCCCATGGGAAAACTGCTTTGCCAGGCTGGTATTGAGGGCAGTGGTGTCTGTGCTGATTAACCAGCTTCTTCCTTTGGAGGGCTTTGCATTTTTCACAAAGTAGTGCACTCTCCAAACCTGAGCTACAATGAATGCCAGAGTAGAGCATCAGTTCTTTCTTATTCCAGCTACTCCTATCTCTAGATTTTTACCTATTTGCTATCACCTACAAATTATATTGCAGTGGTTGATTTCCCTATCACCTTGTATGCTGACTTGGGTGAATGATCACAAAAGATTTTTTTTTTTTTAATTTGGAAAAATCTATCAGTGGTATTGTCTCTAGTCCATCGTGATAGATCTCTCCAAATCTTTTTGTTTTACAAAAGCTTTTGTGATCATGAAATAAAAGATGGCAAGATTTTTTATACTATTCAATTCAGTTTAAATTGGTGATTGTTATCAAGATGTTCTCAGATTATAAAGATTGTTAAGAAACAGTTATTTTAGGTGTAATGAATCAAATTACAGAAATAATACATAACCATAACTTTCATGAATACTCTTTCATGAATATTATGTATAGGTCTTATAAATAATTGGGAATTTATTCATAATTTATAGTATAAATGTGTTCTGCATATCAAATGCATTCTTTTTCACCTGAATACCTTTCTATACATATTTTACAAAACAAATTACCATTTAATTTTCTTATACTGTCTCTTTTATTTTTTCCTCATTAAAAAAAGTTGCAGTGAAAGGTAATCTGTATGCTACTGTTTTTTCTCATTAAAAACATATCAAAATGAGATTTGTATGTTATTTATAACATGTGTGTACCATAACTATTTTTTTCTGCTTTTTTTTCAGTGTAAAACTCTTTCTGGAGTCTGTGACCACATCATATCCTTGTCATCAGATCCTCTGGTTTCACAGTCTGCTCACCTGGAAGTGATTCAGCTGGCAAATATCAAACCAAGTGAAGGGCTGGTAAGAGATACAAGTTTTATCAAAGCCACCATCTATAAGCAACCAGCTAATTATTTGTACAGAGCAGCCTCCATATGTGGGAATATATGAATTTCAACACTGGACATTTTCTTTTTCCTAGAGAAGTTAAGGTTGTAGGCACTTGTCATGATAAGTAGTTTCATATTAACTGGGCATGGTGGCATATACCTATTTGGGATTTCTGAATTATTCCATTTAATTTGTTGATCATTTAGCTTCAGTTGCACTCTTTCACCCCTCCCTTCTATTAAAATTTCTTATGCTTAAAGGAAATTGAAGTTAAGCATTTTATAATAAGGACCACAATGCTACCTGCCTAATAGGCATTTTGTTTGTTTTACTTTTAGTTTATTCTAACTTTAATAGATCTTCTCCTATAAAGGATAACTAAAAGAAAATGACATTCTTTAAAACTCACATTCATTTTTAAGGGTATGAAAATGGATATTGCTAGTACTATGCTAACACCTGTGAGATGTTTTCATGTTTTTTATTATGAAATAATACACGTAATCATCTTCTGTATTTTCCTTTGATTTAAAATGAATTAATTCTAAGCTTAGTCCAAGGATGAATATTTTTAATAAACCTGCAGAAAGAAAGCATATAAAATTGTTACTGATGAGGGAAAGACAAAAACAAATTTTGGCTAGGGAATATGTTACCTACTACACAATTATTACACATTAGCTTAATGCTACTGTGTTTCCCTGGAGATAAATTTCACAATTAGTGATATTTTGGAAATTAGAAATCTTGAAAACTGGTATTAATATTTGAATTTATTCAACACATTCTTACAGATCTCTAAGCATATTTAACATTTTATGTCCTTTTTTCATACACATACATATATAACTGTTTCAGAAGGTAAAACTTTTATTTACTACAAATAGTTTTTTTGGTTTAAGGCCATCTATCTATTCCACAGAATGACTATTCTCCTGCTATTTGGCTATTACTTTCAACAATCCATTGTTCCTAGTGTTTTTGTAGCTTTTATGAGTGTTTCATCTGGAAGAAAAAAATCAGCATAATCACATCGTTACATGATATATTATAACTTTTAATGTGTCATATGTAATGTCCAACTTTGATTAGTTTTAGGAGCTTGTGTCTAATGTTTATAAATATATTGGAACCAATCTGTATAGTTTTAAATTATAGTAATAATAGCTCCCACTTATCTGTTTTATTTTCTTTGGTTTCAGTTATATATGGTCAGATGTATTGCAAAAGGACTAAATGGAAAATTCCAGAAATAAACAATCAACTGTAAATTATACACCATTCTAAGAATTGTGATGAAATCTCATGCCATCCACCCAGAATGTGAATCATCCCTTTGTCTAGTTTATCCATGCTGTCTATGCTACTGGCTCATTAGTCACTTATTAGCCATCTTAGTTATCAAATTGTCTAGAATCACAGTGTTTTTGCTTAATTAACCTTTATTTTACTTAATAATAGCCCCAAACTCCAAGAGTATTGAGGCTGGCTATTCATATATACCAAACAGAATCCATAAATGTTTCCTTTAAGTGAAAAATGGAAAATAGTAGATATTTTGAGAGAGAAGGAGATCATATCACATATACTTATTATATTTTTATAATTGCCCTTTTAATTATTGTTTTAAGTCTCTTACAGTGCCCTAGTTTATAAATTAAGCTTTTTCATAGATATGTTTGTATAGGAAGAAAACAGCATATATATAGTTTAATACCATCCATGGTTTCAAGCATCCCCTGGAGGTCTTGGAATGTTTCCCCCATGGGTAAGGGAGCACTGCAACCTCTCAGTTACCTTTACAAAGTCAAGTTTTGTAAATCAGTAGTATTAACAATTTTCCTTTGTACATTTCTCATTTCTGTAGCTATCAAGGAAAGGAAAGAAAATTTTTAGAATGTAAAATTATGAATTAAAATCATTATATTAGACTTGAAGTCAGGACAAATGGATATAAATCACTTATATAAAATAGAATGATGTGAATGATCTTGGGGAGGTAGAGGAATAAATTTAACTTCCTTGGACTTGATCTTGTCATAAGTAGTATGAGGTGATCATCTTTAAAGCTTTGTGTAGTTCTGTGAGTCTGTAATTTTTAAAGGTAAATTTTTTATGGAAAAGACCCCAATTTTCCCCTCTAATTTGCATTGACACCATGGGTAAAAATAATCTTGTGGAATTAGTCAGCACAATGCTAATTAGTAGACTTTGTGACTCCTTGTTTATTTTAAATGAAGGTATAGCTCTGAAGAGGTTTTTTTTTTATTTAAATGAGGTAGATCTGTGTCTGGTCTTTGGAATAAATATGAACTTAGTACTAAGAACTAAATTCAGTTAGTCTTGGAAGGAACTAGAAGAGAAAAGAAGTGAGTACCTACTATTCACCAGATGTTTTCCTCACAATCTGATACAGAAGCTACTGATTTTCTCAGTTTACAAATGAGAAAACAGAATCATAGATCTTTACCAATTGATTACTGTATATTAAATAAATAATAGACAGCAGAAACAGCATTCAATCAGGAAAATCTAAATAAAGTACATCTGAGTAAAGCTTTTTCCATTATTCCACATCACATGTGCATTTACTAAAGGGAAGTGCTGAAGAGTTTATAGGAGGTTGATTTTAAAACTGCAGCTGTTTAAAGAAACTCATTTTCAAGGGACAGTGGACAGCACCTTATTGGTTTGATATTTCAGAAGGGAGGAAAAGAAAACCATAAAATGTTGAGAAAGTACAGAGTTAAGTATCAAAGGGGAAAAGACTAGAGATTTTATATGTCTTATTCAAAGTATTTAAAATTCAGTCATCTTTAAGCACTTTAGAAATAGATTTGAGGATTTGGTAATTTAAATGTCCCTGTTGCATGTGCTTAGCAATAGGAAATATCTAAATAGTAAATGAAGGGAAAAATAGAAAAATGTGGAAGAATGCTAAGCTTTAATGAAGTTTAATTAGCTTAGAAAAGACTGCTGATCTTTTGCCAACTTTAAAACATAACACCTCTCAGGTAAAAGGTAACTGATTTGTCTTTCCACCGATAAACTGGATAGATTGTTCATCAGCTTTCCATGAAATTAGTCAAATATGCTAGAATTTCTGTTTGAGAGACCTGACACATTATAAGTAATAGTGGAAATGCATTTAGTTATAATTATGATTAGTTATGATTAAACCCTATGTAATTTGCTTTGAAATAATAATGATGAGCAAAGGAAGGAAGGAAAAGGGATCTATTGGAACATAATCAAAACTAGATCAGAGCCATGATAAGAGTTAAATAGAGAGGAAGGGGTTAGAGGACATCCTCGGGGAAGCCTCGTGACTTCAGGGAGTTCTTTTTTTATTTAGATGTTTGGACTGTCTCCAAACATGCCATATTCTACTGACTTGACTGTGATGTTGCTTTGACTCCTACTAGTTAGCTGACATTTGGAGACAGAATGAAGCAAATGTCATTTTGGCAAGCTGAGCAGGAGAGAAGGAGCTGTTAAAGTCATATCCAGAATTAATTAATTGGTTTAAAAAATGAGTCAAGTATATGATGAAATGGAAGGGCAATATTTATTTCAGTTCTAGGAAAAGAAAGACATTTGAACATATCCTCCTGCTGCTTGGTCCTTTCTCAGCGGAATCAGGTGTACTTCTGTGGAATCTTCTTTATTCAGAAGATGATTAAATTGAAACTCATCTGTGCAACTTCTTTCTTCTCTTTATTTTGGTGCCTGACTTGTGGGCATCTTCCTCATTAGTACTACCAGAGGAAGATTAAAAGGATGAAGAAATTAGTTGTGATTATTAAAAGCAATTACAGCAAATAGTTTACTGAGGTTAAAATGTAAATAAAACATAAAACAGGATATTTACATTCTTGTGGTGTATTGTTTCTATCTTATTGCTCATAACTATGAAAGGTTTTAGGACTTGGACTCCATGTACGTATCTAGAGCCACCTTTAATCATTTAAACTCTATTTTATGTACTTGGAGAAACTGTCTTGCATGCAGATTATGTAACATTGCTATGATGTTATGATCCTATAACTACTGGATACTTTATATTAGAAATGTCACTTTTCAAAGTTTCTGGCATGTGCAATGTTTATACACAAATATTTCTTGAATCATAAATATGTCATCCATGATTTTTCATTATCCAAATAACTATAGTGTCTTTTGTAAGCATTTTGCTTAGACTTCTAGACTGTCTCTCCTACCTAATAATTTATAGAATCATTTAAAATTCTTGTCAAACCCCCTCTTTTGGGGGGCACTGGGTATTGAACTCAGGTCCTTGTGCTTGCGAGGCAGGTGGCGGAACCTCTGAGCTAAATCACCGGCCCTTTGTCAAACACTTTTAATTCATAATTTACCCTTACGGTATTGAAGGGTATGTGAAGATAAATATAATCAAATTCTACTTACAGTTTTCAGAAGATATGGGAGATTAAAATAAATTTGTAAAATATTAAACATTCATCCAAAATATTCTTTTCAACTGTGTTTCACAACTACATATATGTATGTTAAAGTGCTCTTAGTCTTTTACAGTAGATATTAATGACTAAGGGTACAGCATGGTGGGAGAGCACCAGCTTAGCATCTGTGAGTTCTTGAATGATCCCTGGTGCTAAAAAAAAAAAAAAATATA